TTGGTTCTCTAATCCTCACTGTGACGCTTGGAGTTAGAGGAGGAAAATGAGGCACGGAATGTCCCCCAAACCCTGACTGGGTAGACCTGTGAAGGCAGACTTCGTTTTGGGGTACTGCTAGGTCCCTGAGCAGCATAGTAGATCCTGAAGGAGTGGTTGGTAAGCAAATGGGTGGACGGATGGATGGATGTGAAGGCACCTGATGGGGCTGGGACTCAGAGAGTCCAGCTCACGATCCTGGGCAGGCGTCTGTCCCTCCTGGAAGAGTCTAGGTGGGGCCAGTGGTTGGGAAATGTGGGGACCCAGCCCCAGAGGCAGGGAGGGAGGCCCGGGTAGGCGGCAGTCTCCGATGCTATCAGAGACTCTGGAGCCAGTTGGAAGCCATTAGTCAGAGGCTCCGCCCGTTGCTTTGCCCTCATTCTGCACACTCAGGGGCATTATCAGAAACTTCTGTCTTGGTCCTGCTGGCCTCTGAGCTTGGAGCAACTAAACCAAGGATCAGCCTGTCACCATTGTCTCCCACAGCAACAACAACAGCAGCAGTAACCCTTGCTATTTGTTGAGCTGAAACCACATCCCTGGCAAGGGCCTCATGCATGCCCCTCAACAGCGTCCGCACTAGGCATTAATTACTCACGGCCATTTTGCTGATGCAGGAAAGGGAGACCCAGAGACACTAGACCACACGGCCAGGGAGCAGGGAAGCCCCCTCTTAATCATTGCCACCTGTCTTGTCCTCTCATCTTTTAAGGCAGGGGGTAAAAGCAAACTTTGGAGTCCCCCAGAGCTGTGCAACCTCAGAGAAGTCACTCTACCTCTCTGAGATCCAGTTTTCTCATCGCCAAACAAGAACTAGGAAGCCAGACCTTGGGGGGGTGTGCGCGAGGAAGCAATATCTGTAAAATTGTGCTGTCAAAAGATAAGGAAGTAACAGTCATAGCACCTTCCATCCAGAACTTTCCAGGTACAGCCCCTTCTGCCAAGTGTTTTCACGTGTGTGACTTGGTGATCCACATAAACCTGCTTTGAGATCCAGTCAACAGGAAATATTTATTGAACACCTACTATTCCTCAGTTCCTGAGGTGGCAATGGAGAACGGGGAAGACAGCGCCTGTTCTCAAAGCCAGGTTTAGTGGGAGAGCAAGACAGTTTCAGAACAGCTAGCCAAGTGTTAGGATAGAGGAACAGGGCACCAAAGAAGACCACCTGACCCTGCCTTGTGGGACTGGGAAGGCGTTATCAAAAGGTGATGCCCAGGGGAAAGACGGAGCAGTAGTTGGCCTGCCGAAGAGGGGCAAGTGAGGACAGAGTGTTCCCGGCAGTGGGAACAGCATGTGGTAACTTCTGGAGAAAGTATGGCTCATTTGGAGGAATGGAGTTATGCCTTCCACCTAGATTATAAAGTTGAAGGTGGAGAGAGGTGAGTTATGGAGGGAGTTTATCAGCCAGGTTTAAGGGTTTGGATTTTATTTATGGGATTCACAGACGTGTTTTAAATGGAGGGTTTAGAGTTTGGGGAACTGGTTGGCTCAGCATCTTCAGCCATGTTCCATACGCCCAAGGGCTGGTGTTTGTTTGAAGGCAGAGGGAAACTCCGATTTGTTTGGGATTTTGCCCATTCGGTATCCATGGCACCATTTTCCCTTTGACAACCAACTGCCCCTCTTCTACTGGTTATGTTCTCAACAGGATGGTCAATCAAGGTGCTTCCCTTCCTCTGGCCAAGGGTGGGCTATGGCCCAGGAAGCATCTCCTGAATTTGAATCCTGAGCCTGGATATAACAATTGAACATAACTTTTTTTTTTCCATTCATGCCCGAAGTTGCTCCCTGAAGAGACTGTCCATTCGAGCCTCAGAACCATTCTGGTTTTTGGTTTTCCTTGTCTTCTGCAATTCTTTGGATTTGTGAGCTCCCATAATGACTGAATGACAAATAAACTGAATAAGTAACTAAACACACTTTTTTGTACTTATGGTACAAGTTCATTTTCTGTTGCTTGCTACCAAAGAACCCTAGCTCATATACCAATGGTGATGGTTTTACTGGATTCAAGCATTAGAAAGCTAGCTTAAGCAAAAAATCAAAAAACAAACCAAATAGGAAGAATGCATCAGGTAGGTACTGGGGTATCTTAGAAAGGAGAGATGAGTTGCTTGGGAGGACTAGGGTCCAAGGTAGGTCTGGAGGATTTAGCACAAGGAAGATACCACCCTTGAGTATTTGCCTGTGTTCTCAGCCTTGTCTGTTTGTGGTGGCAAGATGCCTGCCATATCTTAAACATCGGGACAATATCCCAAGACCTTAGAGAGTTGACAATAGTGCAACTCAATTTTGGTGGACTCCCAGGCTCTGTGTCTGCTCCAAGTTTCAAATTCCCAAGAAAATCTGATTGACCCAGTTTGGGATAGGTGTCTACTTCCAGTGGGGTTGAGTCTCAGGATGCAGACACAGCGTGCATGTTCTCGGGTAGCCATTGTGAACCAAGTGGCTGTGCCAGAAATGTGTTTGACACTGTCCATTGGTGGGCATCAGACACCTTGGTATGGAAAGCAGGGACATGGGTGGGATCATGGGCTACAAAACCAGTTTGCCAAGCATCCTCAAATTGTGGAACCAGCCTTTGAGCTGGTTCACCATCACCCGAGGAGAGCCATGGGCTTCCCTAGAATCAGAAGGACTCCTGCCTTGGAAACTAGTCTTGGTGCCCAGGACCTAGGGTCCTAGATGGTGACCCTGTATCAGGTAAATGATTTCCCCACACCCACCACTGTGCTCTGTATTTTTTCTTTATTGAAGTATAGTTGACATACAATATTATATTAGTTTCAGGTGTGCAACTTAGTGATTTGACAATTATATACATTACACAGTGCTCACCACGATAAGTGTAGTTACCATCTGTCACAATAAAATGTCATTACAATATTATTGACTACACTCCCTATGCTGCACTTTTCATCCCCATAACTTACTGATTTTATAACTGGAAGTTTGAATCTCTTCACCCATTTTGTCCATCCCCCACCCCTTCCCCTCTGGCAACAACCAGTTTGCAATCTGTACTTATGAGTCTGTTCTGTCTTTTGTTTGTTAGTTCATTTGTTTTGTTTTTTAGATTCCACATATAAGGGAAATCATACGGTATTTGTCTCTCTCTGACCTATTTCAGTTGGCATAATACCCTCTAGGTCCCTCCATATTGTCACAAATGGCAAGATTTCCTTCCTTTGATGGCTGAGGACTATTCAACTGTATACATACAGCACATCTTCTTTAGCCATTCATGTATCAGTGGACACTTGGTTGCTTCCATATCTTGGCTATTATAAATAAATATTATAAATAAAGCTGCAGTAAACATAAGGGTGCATATATCTTTACAGATTAGTGTTTTTGGTTTTTTTGGGGGGGAGGTAAATGCCCATCAGCAGAATTACTGAATCCTATGGTATTTCTATTTTTAATCTTTTGAGGAACCTCCACAGTGGCTGCATCACTTGCATTCCCACAAACAGTGCATGAGGGTTTCTTTTTCTCCACAGTCTTACCCAACACTTATTATTTCTTCTTCTTCTTTATTTTCAATACTAGCCATTCTGATTGGTGTGAGGTGATAGCTCATTGCGGTTTTGACTTGCATTTCCCTGTGTTCTCTATTTTTGAGTCAGTACCCTTCAGTCTAGGTTTCTGAGAAATAACGGAGCACCCTGGTTAACAGGGCACTATTTCTTCACTTTCTAAGATGGGACGCAGGCGATGGAGGAGACCTTTACAACGTGAAGATTTTATTGGGGAGAGAGGGTATAATTGAGTGAGCAAGCGGCTGACCTCAAGTTAGCAGGTAGAAGAAGACCGTAAGAACACTTGTTTCTGAGCTCATGTGAGAGACTCAACTGTGGCCCAGACATATCTGGGGGAAACTTTGAGGGGGCGCTGAAATCCTAGTGGTCAGGGACTCTGAACCCTTGAAATTCTGGTGCAAATGTTCTTGTCACCTTAACTGTACTCATAGACTATGGAGGCCTGGGGGATCTTTGGGTCAACAACATGAAGAGGCAAGTGGCATTGTGCATATGTCACCAATGCAGATATGGTAGGTTAGAGCAGTGAATTTACTCCTCACAGTCAGTGAGTGGCGTGCAGAAGCCCAGTATATGGGATGCTTTGGTTTCAAATGAAACAGCCCACTAAAAACAGCTTAAATAGAAAAGATCATATCTTATTATTTTTTGAAATGGAAGTCTAGAGGTAGATGGTTCTGGAATGTTAACTTGGCAGCTCAACATTATCAAGCTCTTCATGGAGAAGTGGTTCTTGAAATACCTGTCCAGGGACACCGTGGGGTCCCTGAGGCCTTTCAGAGGTTCCTCGAGGTAAAAATTATTTTCATAATAATAGAAAGATTTTGTTTGCCTTTTTCACTCTATCTCACCAGGGTACTATGGGATCTTCTAGTGGTTTTGTGATGAGTGATGACACCATCTCTCAAATGGCCAAGGGAATATGTGCTTGTGTAGTCCTGGGTTTTGAAAACTTCTCAGTCTCGATTTCTAATACAGCCAACCTTGATAAATGAAGCTCATATATATATATATATATTTAAGTAATAGATTCATTTGCATTTCTATCCCCTTGGTCAGACCAGGTGATGAGGGCAGAATTTGTGGCAAGGAAGCCTGGAAAATGTTGTGTAGCTGTGTCTAAAACTTGGGGGGCTCTTATTTCCAAAAGGAAAAGGGGGGCAGATGTATGTAGAAGGTTAGTAGACAGTCTGCCACACTCGCTGAATGAATGAATAAACCGATAGAATAACAGATGGAGTAATGAACCTATTGATGACTGTCAAGATCAACTGGAAGAGTGACAAACTCAGGGTTGATCAATTGCCTGAAAGGGGACAGGTGACCAATTGGCTAATAACTTAGGGTTGGACATAGGGGCAGCCCTCGCCTGCCTGCACTTCTGACAACCCCTCCCCATGCCCTCCTCTTTTCCAGTTCAGCAATGTCACCTTTTTCATCTTTGGGCCTCTCATGATGTTTCTCATGCACCCCTACGCCCAGAAACGCTCCCGCTATGTTTATATCACCTGCATCCTCTTCATGGTCGTAGGTAGGTGGGGGTCTGTGACAGTGGGGTGGTAGGGGTGGGGACCACCCCCTTGACCACCTACCTTTGTCTCTTGCTCCAGGCCTGTTCTCCATGTACTTCCACATGACGCTTAGCTTCCTGGGCCAGCTGCTGGATGAGATCGCTATCCTGTGGCTGCTGGCCAGTGGCTACAGCATATGGATGCCCCGCTGCTACTTTCCCACTTTCCTAGGAGAGAACAGGTGGGGCGGGGGCTGGTCCTCTGTTGATCCCACCATAGCCCATGTGGGCTCCTGGGTCCACTCCCTGAGCCCACTTGAGGTCCTTGGAATCCCTCCCCTGACCACCCCAGCACTTTCTTCTGACCCTACCTGACTTAACTGGCTTCCAGGGACTCCTCCTTTGAGAGTACTCGGGACCCCCAGAAATCCTCTCCTGATCCTACCTGGATAGTCTGGTACCTTCTCCAGAACCTGTCCGAAGCCACCTGGGGGTCCCAGGAACCCATACGTAAGCTTACCTGGGCCCCAGGGACCTCTCCCCTGAGCCTATCACCTAGGCCCCCTGGAACTTTCCTGGGATCCTCCTGGGCTCCACTCTTAACCTGAGACCACTTTGAATCTCTCTCCTGACCCTATTTGACCTATCTGAGCCTTCTAGGACCCCTCTCCTGATAGTACTTGGGACCTCTGTAATTCCTTCCTTAATCCTACCCAGGTCCCCTGAATCCTTTGTCTGACCTCACCTGGGCCCTGACACCCTCTGCTGACCTGACTAAGCCCCTTTGAGCCTCCCTGAGACCCTCTCATCATCCTACCCACCCTTACCCCTGGGACCCCCTTTAGACCCTGCCTGGGCCCACTCGGGATGTTTCATTGGACCCTTCTTGGGACCCTCTGCTGAGCCCACCTGGGAACCTCAATACCTTTTCCTGAGTCCGGTTGGGCACCCTGAAACCCCTTCCCTTTGCTCATCTACCTCTGCCACAAGATCTCCTGACCCTGCCTAAACCCCCCAGGACCCTCCCAGCCACCCTCCCACAGCTGCATCCTTCTTCCCCCAGGCCCCAGTTCATCTGCCTGGTCGTCATCACCACTGTGGTCAGCACCTTCCTGTCCTTCCTGAGGCCCGTGATCAACGCATATGCCCTCAACAGCATTGCTGTGCACATCCTCTACATCGTGTTCCAGGAATACAAGAAGTGGGTGGTGGTTGCAAGCGCCTCCCTGGGGAGGTGGCTCCCATCCCCCTCCAAGCACGTCCCTCACCCCACGTACTCACCAAGTCCCAGGGCTGGAGGTCTCATCGACTCCAGGCTCAAGGGAGGGATGTCCCTTCCCCAAGATCATCTACTAACAAGGGGCAGGGTTAGGATTGGAACTTAAGGCTGAAACCCCAAACATACATACAAGCAGAGACTGTTGTATGATAAACCTCCATGTGCCCACTAACCGGTCCCAATAACCATCAGCATTTTGCCAACCTGCATTACACATTCCCCCCGGATTCCATATACTGGCACCCATTAACTTTTCAGGTTTGAACTCTCCTGATAAATAATAATTATTATTTTTTTAACCCATACCAGGTCTTGGCAGGATAAAAAGAGGGGTCTTTGGAATGGGGCCATTTGAGGAGAGCTGAATAAAAGGGTTATTTACAAAGGAGAGAGCAGGTGTCGGCAAATCACTAGGGATCATTTAGAACCGTTGTGCTGATAAGAGTGGGATCCTATGACCATCAGGAGACCTGGGGTCGGGGGGAGAAGGGGGGGAGTGATTACAAGAGTGTGGAAGGAGAGAGCCCTGTGGAGAGGGCCTCCTTAGCAAGAACCGTGACCTCCAGTTGCTGGTTGCAGCTAGCTTGAGCCAACCCCACATGGAGGAGGCCAGGAGAATAAATATTCTAACCATACCCTTCTCTTACCCTTTGGTTTCTTGCTGGGGTGCCTCATTGTCCAACCCAACTAGAAAGCATTGGCCAACCCAGCTAGAAAGCATTGGCCAACCCAACTGGAGGCCATTGGCCAACCCAAC